CAGTCACATTTCTTAGCTATGGCTCTAGCTGCCTTTGATAGGTGGCAGAAAAGAGCCAGAAGGCTAACTTGTCCCATCTGGGGCAGGGATGGCAGAAAGCTGACACTATTGATCAGATGTTGATCAACCATGATCAGATGGATCAGGCTTCCTGTCCTATCCCATTTCTTTCTGGAAAGGTGGGTAGCACTCATCAAGCCCTCCCTTTCTGTCTTAAAGAGCCACCAAAGGAGGTGATCCTGGAGCTGCAGCCTGCATGGGTGGCTGTGGATAAAGCCTTTACAGTGACATGCCATGTGCCCAGTGTAGCACCCTTGGAGAACCTCACCCTTACCCTTCTCCAGGGTAACCAAGAACTGTATAGAAAGAACTTTGTGAGCTTGGCTGTGGCCTCCCAAAGAGCTGAGGTCACCATCAGTGTCACAGCCCAAAGGGAGAATGACAGGTGCAATTTCTCCTCCGTGCAGAACTGGACTTGAGTTCACAAGGTGGCAGTATCTTTCAAGGCAGCTCACTCATCAAAGTACTCCGGATTTTTGGTGAGTCAGAGCCCAGGTATGGAAGAAATCTTGTGCCTCATTTTGCTCATCTTGCCTTGGCCTTTGGAGCTAAGTTCCCACAGGGTTTAGGTGTGGGGATGATTATGCTCTACCTCTACTTGGGCTTTAAACTCACCCTGGGGAAGAGAGATCTTTTAGCCCCACTCCCTTCCTACATTGTGGGGTCCTGCATGACACATGATTTATCATGGCTTTTCTCCTTTCTTTCCTTGTTTTTTGGCAGAATTCTCTGAGAGCCCCCAGATCTGGGTCTCTTCACTTGTGGAGGTTGGGATGGCAGAGACTGTGAGCTGTGAGGTGGCTAATGTGTTTCCTGCCAAAGAAGTTATGTTCCACATGTTTCTAGGAGATCAGGAGCTGAGCCTCTTCCTCTCCCGGGAGGGGGACACAGCATGGGCCAATGCCACTGTTCGGGCAATGGAGACTGGTTATCAGGAGCTGTCCTGCCTCGTATCTCTGGGTCCAATGGAACAGAAAACAAGAAAGCCAGTGCATGTCTACAGTAGGTGACCAGCCTCTTCCCTGTCCCATATGGGTTCTCTGCTGTTGAACCTTACGCAGTGATGGGTTGGTGATTTGACTGTAGATATCCCTACTAACCTTTGCTGAATACTCTCTCAAATGAACATTAGTCTTCGTCTTCCTCTGGTAAGTGCAGGCAGTTTGGGGACATGTATTGCAACAGTTCTTTCCAGTCTTCACCCTCAGTTTTCTTAGGCCATCCTGCTTACAGAGAGATTGTGATGCCTGACCTTTTTCCTAGGAATATTTGAGGTGAGGAGGACATCTGTAAGATGAAAAGACATCCTGCTGTCCTTGCAGTAGAGGCATAGCCAAATGTGTACACACTGCATTTGTTGTAAGAGAAGCTCTCAAATCCCCAAACCACCCCTTTGCGCCTTTTTTTTTTTTTTTCCGAGACAAAGTCTCGCTCTGTCGCCCCAGGTGGAGTGCAGTGACATCATGGTAGCTCACTGCAACCTCCAAATCCTGTGCTCAAGCGATCTTCCTACCTCAGTCTCCCCAATAGCTGGGACTGCAGTCACATGCCATGACACCTGGCTAATTTTTCTATTTTTAGTAGAGATGGGGGTCTTACTCTTGCTCAGGCTGGTCTCGAACTCCTGAGCTCAAGCAATCTGCCCACCTTGGCCTCCCAGAGTGCTAGTCTTTGCTCCTTCTTTGCAGAAGCAGCAATGGTATCTAAAGTTTTTCCC